CGCGAGCACATCTACCGGTAGGTAGCCGGTTGTCAGAGTACTGCCTGCACATACCAAGCTGTGAGGACCAAAGTTTGCTGCTCATGGCATAGCAGGTGCTTATAAGTCTTAAAGCCACGAGGGGAGACTACTGATGCTAGCGAAGGACCATCTTCGTTCCCGCCGTCCGCATCGGAAAACAGGTGCTGGTCGCACAGGTCTGCACTGGCGAAAACTAATGCCGTCACAGACATCGATCTCATGCCGAGCAAGCCCTCCCTACCAGGCGACAAGGTTTGTGCCAACGATTGCATTTGCTCATTTCCGTGCGTGCTGATCTTCGTAGAACTCCTTATTCTCACCATAGATGTTAGCAAACTGGAATACGTAGGTGCTAACGACGGAAGCAAATATCTTCCCACAGAGGTGCGTTAGCACGATAGTGGGGCGATCAAAGATGCACTATGGCAGGAATTCTGGCATCGCACGGTAACTATGACGAAGGAAACGGCAGCTATTCAGTCCTCTACCCCTGAGCTTACGGCTGATTGTCAGTGCGTTTTATCATTATAGTATTTGGGCATTCAACCCCCTTTTCCGTGATGGGGTGAACAATGCCATCCCCAAATATGACTGCTCAGTAAACTCAAGTGGCTACCGAATTCCACACATGGCAAAGACAGCGTGTGGGATCCCAAGTAGATGGAAACTCCAAAAGTACATCCTAAAATTCGGCATGTCTGCAAAGATCGCTTATTAATTCAAAGGTATTGTACCACATTCGTGACACAGTTTAGTTCAGTTTATTTGAGGAAAATGTAGGTCTGCAACTTTGAACATATATTAACTAAACGGGCTGAGGCATGTGTCACCGATGCTCTGCTGTTACACGTCGCAGCTGCATGGTGTTCGGCTGCTCAGTGGGTCACCCACCGTTTTCTACGCTGTTTATGATGTATGAACTCCAGAGACGGATCAAGCAAATTATTTCAGAAACCGCATAGACAACGCTGAGGAACCCTCTGAGGAGCCGAGCCCTTCACAGTCGCAGAATATAGGCAAAACACGTGTCTGGGCCTTTAGGTATCATCTACGTCGTAAATACGGTCCAATATCAATGCCACCAAGATTTCATACTACTCGTAGAACTACGTGTTTTTAGGGTAGGCATTGCATGGTCATTTCACGGTAGTTTATTGTCTTGGACTTGAATGGTTGTTGAAAATTCGTGTCTAAACCCTAACAGTCATGTCCCGAAGACTTAACTCCATGTACTGCACCTTCAGCAGAAATTTATCTATTTTATATGTCTTTTTACTCCCCGGTCAGTTTGCTACCTCTCCCGTGAGAACCCCTCTATCATAATTCAACGTACGGAACGATCCACAGGCTAGCACAAGTTAGTTGGGGGTCCTACACTCTATGATTGCTCCACAGAATGTGGTGGCATTTGTTTGATGGAAAGGCAGCCCCGGTTAGCCTGAGCTGCCTAAGCATTCCGCCTAAGTAATTTGCGCTGTTGGTGGGAGAAAGAGTTTGGGGAGTAGTTGTGGATTTACTGTGTGTTCACATACACACAGCGGGCAACCCCAGCAGGTTACGCCTGTCGGTCATGTACAGTTTCCCGAATATTACGGTCATTTTAGAAATGGCTTCTTATAGCCGCAGATGAGATTTTGGAGCAGAGACTAACTGAAACAAAAATATTGAACTAGCACACTGATGTGTTTGGAGGGGACATGATTGCGTTACATTTGGACATCTTACCGTACTCGGGCCCGCTCTGCGGCCTCAGCAAACGTCCTCGAGGTTTTCTAACGCAATTCCAAGCCTCTTTCTGCTCGACGGTAGGCTGGTTTTCGATGGAAGGTACGTCGAATTTCGTCAAAAGTTGCTATTAAATAATGCTTCTTTTCTAACTGATTTCTCAAACCTATACCACTTCTGTTATGCGTCATGGAAAGAATGCACCAGCGTCATTTTTCACAACTTAAGCATAGGTCTTCTGCTAATATTCATGCCAGTTGTTTTAAACAGACTATTCTTGCGAAGTTTTCAGAAATCAGGGTTTTTGAGTACAGTCTCTATCAATGAAACAAATGACGAATGGCAATGGTTACGACAAAAAGGGAAACTCTCGCGGGAGACTGTATACGCCTAAATGAAGATTTTTATACAAAAACCGGCGTTTTTGTGTTGACGTTCTTTTTTTCCCCATTGCAGTTTTTTAAGGTTGGCGAATAAACCCCTTTTGTTGTCTCATAAAAGGAATCACAGGTTTTTTTTGAGAATCCTGCTGCAACAGATAACTTTTTTTACAGCAAAAACAAAAATTACTGGTTGCACAATCTTTTAAGAACATCGAGAATCCAAATGCCGAATAAATGTCATATCTGAAAGGTTTTTTCCACACTTACTAACTCCTGTGCGTTTTCTTGACTAGCAGATTCGACGGTGTTTTCTACTGTTCCGACTGTCTTCCTGACTTTCTCTGCGATTGGATCATGCGAACCCCATGACTGCGAGGGCCCATTTGAATTAACGCGGTCAGATAAGCTCCAGCTTTGGAGCTGAGTTTGTTTTTGTAGCGTGCTACGGCACAGGCTCAGCCAATTGGTTATAATTTATTTGTTTCTCAGACGCCTTATAGAAGACTTTCATTGTTGCATTCTCATAAAGAGATTCAATTTGGTGAACAAGGCAAACGTCCAGACGAACTATAATCCGCCATCAAGTGACAGGACCTACAGTAGTGTTGAAATGCATTTTGTGCTAAATATTTTTGTTTCGTTGTATGTCGCATATTAAAAGGTGTATGTGTTATACCACTGTACTCTACTGATTTTTTCAGCTGAAGTCAAATGCGGACAACTGCGAAAATACAACTCTCAACATGGGCAATTACTTTGGTTTTCACGATGCTTTTTGGTAAGCAAGTTATTAAATAGAAAAACCGGGATGCTGCTTTAAAAGTAATAATTGAAAACTCACTAATGTTAGGCAGTCCGGTAAGGCACAGTTTCATCAGAAACAGTACAAACTAATGTTTAACATCATTTGAATTTACGAAAAATGCATATCTGAAAAATAAAGTAATTAGTTTAAGCTCACTCTTACGCAGTTTGCATAGCAGCAAGTATACGCTTAAATATACGTCCGTCTTTGGGCAATTTCGAACGACCACTGCTTTAAGAATGGCAGTATTTTAAGATGGGCATCGATCGATGAGCGACAAGATGTTTCCCGTTTAAATGTGTATTTAAAAGATCTCCAATTCCAATTTTGCACGTTGTGTTCCTATCGATAAATTACTTTTTAAATTTCGCCTAATTTTTAGTTTTTAAAGGATTTGGATTGGCACAAAATGCTTAAAATTTTGTTTTTGAAATGGAAATGGCCTTCTGTTAAATAATGTTAATGGGGATTATTTTTTATTTATTGACTGCAACCACAGCTTACTGAATATCCTCCTAATACAAAAAGTTGAAAAAAGACTTAAAAGTAACTTTCCTGCTGTCGATAAAATAGCTGTGATTTTATGAGAAGAATTCTTGATTAAACGAAATACGATAACTTAAATCTTCACTATATGCAAAAATTGATACTTTCTGCACTTTTTAAAAATGATCACATATAATTTATATATTTTATGAAATTGGCAGTGTGCGCTTCATTCTCACAAATATTAGAAGGCTTTTATGTTTCTAAGGGCGATAATTGCTGCACATTCATCCCGAGTATTAATGTGACGTCTTAGGAACTTTCATCTATAATACCTGTTAGAATCTTGTCCTGTCTAAATTTTAATAGGAAGCCGTGTGGGACATTTATTTATTTCGCCACCTGTGACATAGGCCTAGTTAGGAGCGGAGGTTTCGACTGAGTGTCGAAATAAGTTCACGAGAGCCGGCGTTAATGCCAGATAAACTGCTGGCATTAGGGCTGGGAGAATGGAGATCAGAAAAAACGTATGGTCAGGAGGAGACTTGACTTCCTCCTGGAATGTAGTTCAAAGTCACCGAATTTTTATACAGATGGGAATGTTTGAAATCCGTTATTGCATCTGGTACTGTGGACGTCGACGGCAGCTATGCCTTTAAAATTTGATGACCGCCCTCGCACGACTGACCGAACACGCGGTAACATTGCGGTGAAGTAACAGCAGCTGCTGGTTACACGGGCAGGTCTGAAGTAAATGAAATGCTATAGACCGGTGACAACACTTCAAGCCACGGGTTCAGTATCAGTATATTTCAGGGAAAGTAGCTGTGTACCTTTGAAATCACTATTGGTTACATGCAGGGGATATATATGGAATAAATGGAAAGGAAGTAACATGAAAAAAAATGCGAGGGGAGTAGCAAAAACTGTACAGATGAGCACAGACTGTCATGCGTTAACACAGTTTAGAGGCACATTAAATTGCTTTGTTGATCAAATACAGCGGACAGTTGAGGCACACTTAAGATACGGGGAAAGAATTAAAATTGTTTAGTCTACAGGCATCGTGGTGTATGCGAACAGCGGTGTGTGACGTGGCCCAAGCTTAATAAATTACATAAACATATATTACTTAAACGTTGATAGTAGCATCGTTATAACACCAAATTGTCAGCGTTGGCTGTCAAGGTGACCGTAGTCCGGCGTTACTGTGGTGCGCGCTACAATGCTGATCTAGTCTCCATTTAAAAGTATCCACCGAGCCCGACATAACAACATCCTCGGGCAAGGCATTCCAAGCTGCAACCACTCTGTTGGAGAAGAAGAACTTTCGGGTGTCTTGCCGGGCACTAGCCACACGCAGTTTGAGTGGATGGCCTCTCAGGTTAGTCGTAGTCGCCAACTCGAAGAAGCTGTCTGTAACTCAAAGGAAAGAGGTCAAGATTAGCTAATCGTGTTTCGTAGGGTAGTGACCACTGCCCAGATACAAGCTTCGTTGCTCGCCGTTGAACGTTTTCGAGTATGCCGAAGTCTTTAGCGGTCCAGGGTCGCCATGCTTGGATAGCAAACTCCAGATGCGGTCACACGAAGGTTTGAAAAACCTTGGCAAAGCAGTCTTCATCAAAGAAGGAGAACGCCCGTTTGACGAGGTATAGAATGGACATCGCCGACTTGGCCATCTTTGAACATTGCAGCGAAGGCTTAAGCGAGGTTGTGATCCATACACCCAAGTCCTTCTGGGCGTTGACATCTTGCAATGGTTTGCCAATCAGACGGTAGATCGTGTGGTTAGGAGAACTGGTTCTGCCGACGCGTAGGAAAGAACACTTGTTTACGTTGAACGGTAGAAGCCAGTCTTTCGACCATTGCTCGAGGTGGTCCAGATTTGTCTGCAGTCGCGCCTCGTCAAATTCGCTTTGTATGGTACTCCAGATCTTTATGTCATCGGCAAACATTGCGACATCGCACTTCAGTTCGTTTGCGCAGTCATTGACGAGGAACAGTGTAGGGCCAAGTGCAGAGCTTTGGGGAACACCACTCTTAACGGCAACCTCGGCAGATTGTTGGTCACCGACGTGGACGGCTTGAGAGCAGCCGATTAAAAACCTCCGAATCCACATCAGAAGCTTACCTCGCACTCCTGCACGGCTAAGTTTGTATAGAAGGCGGTGGTGAGGCACACTATCGAAGGCCTTTTTAAAGTCGATATAGATGGCATGCACCATATCTCATCTATCAACAGCCCTAGTCCAGTGTTCCAGACAGTAGAGCAGGTTTGTCACACAGGATCTGCCTTTTCGGAATCCATGCTGAGAATCGAAAAGCAGACGGTTTTGTTCAAGGAACTGCATTAGTTGTTTCTTTATTATCTTCTCCATAATCTTACAGCAAATGGAGGTGAGGCTGACCGGTCTTTAATTGTTTGCAGAGACCCGACTTCCACCCTTGTATAGCGGCGTAATCCACGCCGACTTCCAGTCGGGTGGCAGATATCCGGTCTCGAAGTATTATGGAAAAGCATTGAGAGTGGCTTAGACAACTTACCGGCGAGTTCCTTCAAAACCTTCGCCGGAATCTCATCGGGACCTGGTGGTTTGGATTCTTTTAGCCTCAGCAACTCCGTCAGAATAATACCCTTAGTGAACTGGACGGTCTCTGTAATTGGGGTGTCTTCGAAGTATTGAGGGGCCGAAGGGTTGAATCCTGGTTAAATAACTCCCAGTCTGATGCCAAATTCGATGTCCTGTCCCTCCGTATTTGGCGTGGCGGCTAAACCTAGGCATACTATTTAACTACGGGGAAATAACGCAGGCAAACTCTGTTTCAAACGCTAGTATCAGTTAGGCGGTTGGCCGAGTAATTATCACATTAACATGCAAAATGGCTGTAAACGATTAACGACTCGAATGCTGGCCATCATGAACATGCCTCATTAAAGACGAAAATCTGCAAGGAAATGGAAACCGTTGGTTTTGCATGTATGCGATCGCGTCCTATAAAACTGCACACCCTTGCATACAAAGTTCTTACATCTTATGTCGTCTTTGATGGTGGATCAATTGCAAAATCGGAAATTTAGATGAGCAAAAATCATGTGTTAGAGATCGCATTTACTTCTTCTCAACTGACTCCTGAGACGCGTATATTCGCTTGTGCTGGATAGAATTGAGGTAAAGAAGATCATGTTTAATAGGTCAGTATAGTTCAGTATATTTTAAGAGTAATAGACAATACCTTTGTTAACCCTAATGTTTTGGTGCAGAGCTTTAAAAGGATAACCAAGCATCCAGACGACAAATCGAGTTTAGAATTTTACCGACTGAAGAGCTAGTTGCATACCGAGCAACCACCATTAGAAACGCCATGGTACAAAAACATTGAAGCAAAGTCGACGCGAGTTAAATTATTAACATGAATATACTAAAATCAACCACGGTGACTGACCTCGGGATCGGTCACAGATTGTGTACGTGCTCAAAAGTTCAATGAGTCCCAATTTTGTCACTCTTCTTTAAAAAGTTAACCTAAAATATCGTCCCTAAGTTGTGAAATATCAAACAAAATTCTGAAACATTTTTAGATTAGAAAAGTAATAACATAGACTTGCAATTCTGACTGCATTACAATATAAGCAAAAAAATATTTGAGTCACGCAGGAAAACAGATTTCGAATAAACGTCTTTTCGGCCGCCTGTAAAAGGCTGCGCACGGTACATATATCAACAACCGTGCAACTAAATTCCTTTCTATGCTCACTTCATAGATAATAGCGATTTTACCAAAGCTTTACTTGAAGAACAATTCGTTTTACAATATTAGTTTTTTAAAAAATTAAATTAATCTGGACTGCTTTCGAACTTGTGCTTAGGGTTTTTAAAACAATTCTATAGCCTGTCCCTGTAGACAATCTGGAGCTCATCTAAGCAATTAATAACTAGCCATAGAGGGCTCAGGTAATGTTGAAATAATGAGAAATATAATGTATAGCTAATAAGCGGTATTAGCAAAAGGAAAGCCCTGAAGGTGTATGAACGTGGATCAATTTGAAACCATTATTTACGTATCTCTAAAAACTTTCATCTGCTGTGTTTGCCCGCCTGCCACTTTAGAAAAGGGAGTTACAACAGACAACAAGAAAAAGGGTAAGATAAGAAGTTACATAGTTATATTCTTATTTTCTTGCTTAAACATGTTAGCAGAAGAGGTTTAAAAGAATTTTTATAGTTTTGAATAAAAACAAAATCAACGCTTATCAACCTTGTAATTTAGCATGAATCTCGTCAAAATTAGAGATCAAATTACACATATTAAGTAGACAGAGAGGTTAGAAACGTTTTGGATTTTGAATAATTTTTTAAGAGGTGAAAGCACTCCGACAGAGCCGCATACGCAATATTGGAAGGGATCTTCCGGTTTTTGGATAAAAAATAGCATTTTCGATATAAAATGCTCAATTTGCATTTATTTGCAAATTAAATGTACTAAAATGAGAAGAAATAAAAAGGTGCAATTCAATAAGGCAGTATAATGAAGAAGGATACTCTAGAAGACGAAGCACTCCGTGGATGTTGATCAAATGAAAGAAAAGCACTTCAACTTTCTCAGTAGACACATAAGCTCCCTCTGAAAAGCAGTCATTTCCAAGAGTAAGCCAAAGCCTCAAAGAGGCAAATTGTGCTGGCTCCAAAAGTAAGATATATGCCATTTTTACGGCTGCAGGAAATAGAATTCACAGTAAGGTGTTTATGCATGGGATGCTAACTAAACTTTTGTTTTGCTAAAGTTGATGATGATATGGACGACTACCTTATGGAAGGGGATAAATGTGAGTATGCGGTCCCTGGTCATAAAATGACACTTAATGTTAATATGCTTAATCAAACCTCCGTAGCTCTTACCCCTAACTGTTTTAAATTTAAAATACGAATTGCAGGCCAATAAAAACAACGTTTTTCCCCTTCAGGGCGCTTCAAAGTTCCGCTTTCTGAAATTTGGTCTAGAAGTTGTCCACGTAAGTGTTTCAGAAAAATATTTATCATAACCGCAATGGCCTTTCAGTTGGCAGAGGTTTGTTTGAGGCGCACAGAAAGTACGCAATCAGTAATCTGTAATTATGCTTGATAATGACTGGTTTGGTTAGCCGTCTCGTCATATGCCATGCAAAAATCGATATTTGTAACCTAATTTGCTTCCAGCTATGGCTGCGTCTTTTTATAGGCGACTCTTGAAGTGTTTTACAATAATCGATTTGTCTTCAAATTGTTGACCATGCCAAAGAGCGGGAGGTCTAATTACGCACCCTCTACCAGTATTGTACTTCGTGGATATTTATATTTGATTCTTTTAGTGAACGCATCTACAACTGACCAGATGAGCACAGGTATGCCTTTAAATGTCATCTTCATAGTTTAAATTTTTATGGGTGTTAGAGTTGTAGAAACATTTCATATCCCAGTAAAAGCAAGTGAGGGGACAAGATATAGTTAAAGGCACTTTTACATGAATTTAGCAAAAACGGCCTACCAGACATTAATGCGTAGAAGGCGGTTAACAAATGCTTTCTCAATAATCAAGTAGTACGTGCTTGGATATTGTTTACGAAGGACTAATTCAATCAAAAAATAATGAAGGAAAGTGACGCGTACGAGTGTGAGTGCGTCTTAAGTCTCGAGCCTTGCGAAATACTTCTTCAAATGTTGAATTAAAAAGACAATACGTCACAGGTGCGCTGGAATTTAAACATACCATATCTGTCAGTTAAATTACTCCTACATTTGATCTAACATTGCAGCAATAGAGTCAGAAATGATCATTTATAATGCCGTCAAATTTTTTTGAAAGTTGATGTAGAACCACATAATTTATGCTACTGGTCAAATTATATTATAGAGTCATTAAAGGTCTAAACTGGCAAGTAAACAAGATAGAAAGGCCATATTGTGTTCATTTTGTAGCGATTGTCACCGTCAACTTACACGATGACGTTAATCGGTTGGGCATCACTTAAAAATCGATTGCCCGAAATGTCGACGAACGTTACTAGGGATGCCAGTGACGGATATTGACCAAGACGAGATTCTGGCGTTGCGTTCGATGGACGGAGGGATTGGATGACAATCGAGGTTGTGGAATGCTCCGATGGATAGGTACAGCACCAGACGACTGACCGACTCTGACAATAGTTAAGGTCTGGGAATGGGTGCAAGGACTGAGGTCTAGGACTCAGCACATTTTCCTCACTACGAACATTCTGAAGTTCTTGTAGCTATCACAGTGTGCCAAAAGTCGTGGTTTGAAATGTTGTCAAATAACAGGATAATTGGAACTCGCAGGGCACCTACTGTATGTTTGCATGGGGCGGTCGACTAGTGGTTCGAGGGTCAGGCAGTAATAGTTCCTTCATAATGCGGGCTCTATGGCACTTCCCGGCCTATAGGTGGTTCCTATAACGCCAGCCGTCGCACATGTTGTTGTTGTTGATTAAAATCCTGGTCAAATGTTTGTTCCGGACCAGAGGGTATGATGGTACTCCTAAGTACGGAGCCGTCCATTTCAGCCTCCTACGCTCTCCCAGCCTGCGTTCTATTGACTATATCTCTACACCGGACCCAGGTCAGGATGGGGAAGTGATGCGATAGGTGCTGCAAGACTCCACGTTAACTATCAAAGAAGTCACGCAAGGTCACTGCGTTTGCTTTGGGGTTCACGGTAGACGTGGTCTATCACGCAGTTTGAACTGTTGCATGAAAACTACAGTAGGTGGGCTTACTCAGGAAATTTCAACGGCAATTCCGAAATGCGTTATCGTTTCTAAAAGATTAATCAAGTATGCTGTAAAAATAGTCGGCCTGCAATATAATTCTATAGTATTTAAGTTACCTTAGGATGTCGGCTTTCAAATAAACGGCTTTCCGGCTGCATGCAAAATGATAACGCTTTTCGGAAATTTAGTTGACATATCGTAAGTTAGCTCACCTACTCTAATAAGTGAAATGCACCCATGAAAAGCAGTGGCGTAAGGGCAACCAAATGAGTCGTTGGGCGGGAGTTTCTGGGCAACAATTAACGAGAATATCAGGAGTTTGTTGCTCGTCGCTTATTAAAAATTGCAGCGGATACAGTCGTTAGGCTGAAGGTAACGTCACCTGATCAGATCAGTGGCAATGTGTAGTACTCTGCAACGAATAATAATTTAATTGTTCCTGGCCGCCTAAACGATTGACGA